GAAAAAAAATTCAACTCTCTGAGGTTGAGGTAACATAAAAATATCTAGATAGTTTTAAAATAGAACTTCATCTGTTTAGAATAATAGGATTACACAAATATTTTCCTTCCAGTAAGTCCGTGTATTCCTAAGAAATAGGGAAAAAGAAAACAGCAACAAAATGTGGGCCATGTTTTAAGGCCCTCATTCCATAATGGTGGATTAAACTGTTAGTAGCATTATCTACACCAAGGTCAAGCTATGTTTTGTAAGCTGTTTAAGGAGCAGCACAAACTTCTCAGTGTGAGATTTGCATCAACACAGGCACCTAAGGATATAGGTACTTGTGCTTCTGTTTTTCCGTGAACTTTTTTTTCTTGACGTGACAGTATTGTTCAGTTTCTAAGGAGGTCCAGAATTTCTGTGGCTTGATTGTAATAAATAATTTAAATAGGTGTCATTCTTATCATTCCAGTGCTTCTTAATGCAGTACATCAATAAGCAAGGTGACTGAATTTTGATAAATGTTTTACATAAGTCGAATGCAAACCATAGGGAAGTTTGCATTACTGAGACTTTTAGGTAGGTTAATGCTATATTATTCCACTCTGTGCCTTCAAAATACTGTTAGCAAGTTATATTCTGGATATGCATAGGTACTGAAGACAGAACACTGATATTTTTATAGGGGATTGTAATGAAGATAGTTCTGTGCTTCAGGAACGGCAAGTCATTCTAGTAAACAGTACTAAATAAGCAATTTTTTAAATTTTATACTGCTTCTATGTGAGTGGATTAGAGAGTTAAATGGGTTATATCTTATTTTAGTTTTCATTCCGACCTACTACTAATAGAAGGTACATGCTTATCATAAATGAACAATATTTTGTGTTTGTTTAGGAAGAACTGATTACTAAACATTTAAGTGGATGCATTTTTTTTTTTAAATTCTAAATTCTGAATTCTTTATTTTGTGGTGATGAATTAATTACTTTCAGGTCAATGGCATGTTCACAGTTCTTCCATCTATAACCACTGTCTTTGTGAGCCAGTAGTCTTCTAATGTTTAACATCAAGAGTGGTTGATATGTCACCATATCATTGCAAAGTGTGACAATGAAAATAACATCAGTGGTGAGATTTTACCAATTCCTAAATGTTCAAAAGTAATTTATAAGCATAGTATGAGAAAGAAATCAATAAGACAGGAAGTTTGTAAAGATAACGGATGATAGATGTTTATTTTATCAATTTTATGCTTGTAATGATGGGTTAAAAGGATAATTTTTTTTGTTCATTTGTTTTTTGTTTTGCTTTTGTTTTTGTAAGGACTAAAGCTATTACTTTTGATGGACTTGATTTACATAACATGCAAGACTCAGAAGTGGTCACACAAAGGAGATGAAATATTTAATTTGTATGAGATTAGATGAGAATACAATTATGTTAAACTGTGTACTAGCTCTAGGTGTGTTTCCCTTTAAAAATATTTTCTTTGATTTCTCTTTTTTTAAACTTCTATTTTCAGGATTATTACATTTTTATATTAATTTAGACCATATCTACTACAGAAATTTGAATTATCAAAATCTATACATCCCTTTGTGATCATGAGTAGAAGTCCTTGTTAATTTCTTATTCAGAAAAAAACCTCATGAGTTCCATTTTGCCTATTTTTTGCTCTATATGTGGCCCTTACATGTGTATAAAAATGGTACAGCATAAAGATAGTGAATATTTTATTTACTGATTAATTTTTTTTGTTTAAGATATGAGAATTAGCTTTCCTTGTGCAACATGTACATTCTAAAGAAATATAGTCAATACACTTTCTGTAGTTCCCCATATCTTATTTTTATTTCTGCCACAAACTGAAAATGAAGTTACATGTGTATAATAAGTTTAAAAATAAGTTGGAAGTATCTTGTGAAATGTAACAGGAAATCTACAGAGATATATTTTTATCTGGCATTTTCTGTAGTGGGCAAAAATGAGCATGTTGTGCCTTTCAGTTCCGTTTAAGAATGTTGGAGAAACTTGTAATCTGTCACATTTTTAGTCATGTGCACATGTCAATCAGATGAATATATAATATATATTGCAATCATAACATATTTACAGACAGAGATAAAGTTCTAAGAATAAAGTGAAATGAGTGGCAAACCCCCCCCCCCCAATAAAACTGTACTTGCAGAAGTTAAGGATTCTGAATTTGCATGCAGCAGTATTTTATGCCTGGGTCCACTGTACTCTGTTAAATTGAGTGGTTTCTCAGTTATTTAATGAAAAATAATTACAATTAGGAGCAAAGATACATCACTAATACTAAAAGGTTGCTTCCCAATGGCAATGGATATGTAAGTTAAGGAAAAAGGAGAAGTAGAAATAAAGATCCATGAATAAATTTGGGATGTACTGCAGCATTGAAATTCTAGAAACAATTTCCCATCTAAATATTCAGGGAAAAGAATTTTAACATATCAAGAAATTATGTGAAATTATGCCTGTGATAATGCAAGTGTACTCAGCATGTAATAAGAAACTTCCAGGCCTATATTTTATTATTATGGACTGGATTAATGGAGAACTTCAAGCATCTTGCTCATGGCAACCAAGTAGTAACTCTCAGTTCCTCATTTAACTCTGCTCCATGTGCATTTTTGTGCAAGGCGATGGAAGGAGGAACAAGACGGTAGTATCAATTTCATGGAAATTAGCAAGATTTTTCAACTGCCATGAAAAATGGGGAAAACAGCATCTAATTTAACATATTTTTGGGGAGAAAAGATAATTTTCTAATTATTTTCTGTCTATTATTATGTATGGATGCATCTACTAATGAGACAGAGCATGGGAATGTGATTTGGGTGTGAATTTCTCTTCAGTCTATGTTTGGAGTCCTTCTGTACATATTTCTGCGCACCACTGAGCATTTTGAAGCATTGATTTGTTCCAGCATTGTCTTTAGATTGTCATGTAATGCACAGCACTTGTGGTGCAGGTTCAAAGCCTTCCATCATTTTGCTCTCTATGCCTGCACAGTGTGTGCCAAAGATTGTCAGGTAATGCAGGCTTTGTTGCTCGTTAGGATATAATGGATAGGGGCACAACAAATTGCATGGTCATCCTTCCCTTCGTATGCTGCATCAGGTGTACTGCAGGTAATACACACACACACACACAGACTTCCATGACTGCTTGAAATTTAATGATGTAATATATTGCATTTGTGATAAAAAAGATTCAACATTTTGTCTAGCATGTGCCAGGTAATTTGTTTTGCTTGTTTTAGCTTTTCTCTCACAATTTATGACTTGATTTGTTAACTGAAAAGAAAAAATATTATCAGTATCTGTCATACAAGAAAGCTTGAGTTATAGAAGGTTCATAGATGTTACATCTATGAACTTTTTCTGCCTCAGAAATATCTTATGAATGCACTGAATGCTCACTACTGTGTTTATATTTTAGAGAAAGATATTTAAAATACATGTTAACAGATCCCCATTTATTGCATACTGGACAAATCTACGATTCCAGTGAATGTACTCTCCTTCAAGTTAGCAAAACTTAATTTTTATACAAATTCGAATAGCTGGAGTTTTGAGGTACTCAATGAACTTAAATGAAAGGTACAGATAGAGCAATAAAAACAGGTAGGCTGGTAGGTAGGTAGGTAGGTAAGTAGGTAGATAGGTATATAGTTACATTGCTTGTATTTTTATTGAATGTTTTGTCCTATTTAGTGTTTTTGCTGTTTTTTCAAGTTAAGTCAGTGTAAATTGAATAAAGATATTTGTGTATAATTTGGCTGATGATGATGAAGAATTTTACTGAGGTGTAAATATATTTCTTCTGCAACCAAAACAGAATGTTTTGCTTCCTTGTCCCAGATGGCTTCCTTTAAGAAGATCATATTTAGATTGAGGAGCAGACGTTATTATTTGAGGACATTTGGGAGTCTTTTATGGATTATGTTCATAGAGTAAAAGATGTTTTATAGAGATGCTTGACTTTGCTATCCTTTTGTGTAATTTGGTTTTAAATTTACATATGTGTAACAGATTAGAAGAAATGATTCATTAAAATAAGGATGCAATAGTCAGTGATGTAAAATAAATATAAATTATTAATAATTCAACAGTACTATAAAAGCTGAAAAGACTGATGAAGGCAAATGAAATGTGTTATGTAACCAAAAAATAAGGGGTTAATGTTTTTTTTTTTTTTTTAATGTGGATGACCCAAATCCAAGTGATATTTTAAACACTGTTTCTGAAGAATATATTGGACAGAAACCTTCACTGTTTATCACTAGATGTGCATGTCTCTTTAGTGTCTCAGTTCCTTCACAAGCATATTGATCAAGGTGATTCAAAGGGAGTAGGTTCTCCCCTAGTTCTCCATTTCATTATGTCCACCTTAGGGCAAGATAGTTGATATCTGACATTTGAAGAACATAGATGTTCATAGAATTGTCATTGTATACTGTATGTTACCCTTAAAATCTGGCTTGCTCACTCCATTTTATCTGGTGATTGGGTGAGAGAGATGAAGGAAAAGATGAGTTACCTGTTTGTTTTCTTGTAAAATTATTATTTTTTGCTTATTTCAACTCTCTGTACTGCACTATTTACCCCACCATTTAATGACGAAGAGTTATGCTCATCACTGATACATCTGTGTTATTTTTTTGCTCTGCAGTAACTCTGAGTAAGAAAAGGAAAAATTTATAAATCACTCCAATTTGTCTATAATTTAAAACCAGCCTGTTTCTGGGCATAGTTCACTTAATTTCTTCTTTTTCTTAAGAAATATGAAACAGTACATTTCTGTTCATGTCTGTATGAAACAGACAGTTCTAATTATGTTTACTGACAAAATAATTATTCTGTGGAATATATTTGGACTTAAGGCAGAGAAATTTTTTGCTCACTAGTAAGATCCATGGTAAAGGATTAAGTTAGCCAAACCCTACTCACTGCCCGGTAAGCAGACATATATTTCTGTATTTTTTGTAGGTGGATACAGTGCAGACTACGCAGCACCCTGGCCACATTGAGGAATCATGTAAAATGAATGTATGTGCTCGTAAGTGAATTATTTATGAAATGACACTCCAACTCTAAAGGATGTTGGATCACAAAATCCATGAACTCTCTTTACTCTTATGTTAAGACATTGATTCCTAGGGGACAGGGTTACTGCAGAACTAAGTGGACCTTTAAAGCAAAGCTATTAGGAAAAAAACCATGATAAATCACAATAAAAAATGCTGAAAACAAGAAATTCAGATTACATTTTGGATGCATTTGGAGAGATATTAAATGGAGTAAAGAATCCAAAACAGGAAAACAAATGGTACATGAGAAAGGTTTGGTCAGCAGAACTGATTAAGTAAGTAAGTAGAGGAAGAAGATCAAATACCATCTAATTCAGGAATTTGAATAGGATGAAAACACTCACCATTTTCTTCTTTGTTCCAACTTTGAAAGGACTGAAATTTGATTAGATGATTTGTTGAATTAGTATCAGGGACATGAGTATGAACAAGTTTGAATTTTCAGTGTTTGAATCAATGAAATATTTGTGGTTTGCTAAAAAAAACAAAAAACAACCCTGATGATATGCTAGATAAACAAAGGAAAAAAAACATACCTCATGACTAAAATTCTGGAAATGCAGAAAGGGTCTTAGTATTTGAAAATCTTTGTCTTGCTTGGGGGCATGACAGCGAGTGTGGAAGAGGATTCAAGTCAAGCAGCATTGTGTCCTTCAGGTTGTGCTGAGAGAAATGGCTCGACAAGGATTTTGAGGTAGATACAAAGAAGAAACCAAACATGCTAAATGACTATCAGCAAATAGGGAACTCAAGTCACTCACATGGGACACATAAATTTGGCTGCTAAAGACAACTGAATTCACTTGGCTAGAGCGCTCCGGACCAGAATAATTGCAACAAGGATTGTACAACTGCCAGTATCAAAACCATATATGCAGAAAACCTCTGACTTTGCAGTCACTACTAAGCTATATACATCACATAAAAACAAAGGCTATAGTGCCAAGTCCAATTACATATATATATATATGTGTGTGTGTGTGTGTGTATTTCTATATGTACACACCAATTTTTATATTCATTTTATATATGTATTTGGATATTACTCTATATATCATCTTATGATTTAGAGAAAGGCTGAATATTTTCTCCCAAATAATTTGTTTAGTCATATCCTTCATCATAAGAAGAAACAAAAGAGGATATTTGAATAATAATTTTCCAACAAGATCTTTTTCTTAGGAATAATGTATAACTTCAGCCCATTGAAGTTTGTGATGCAAATCTGGTATAGCTGTGTGAGAAAACTGCTTTATATTTGTAACAAGACTGTATATTGTGACTTGTCTTTATAGTATGACTTTTCAACTGTATGAACAAAAAATGCTGAAAAATACTTTTTCGCTCCTGATTGTTATGTATTTATGTCTGAATTAGCTCATCCTTTGTGTTTATCCCTTCAAAACTGATAGTCTGCCACATTTTTCCATTTGGAGTAATTAGTTCTGAGTGGAGGAATTTATGATACAGTAGGGGCTTTGACCTCTTTATTGTACTGAGATATATTATCAAACTTCCAAGTCAGTAGGCTGCTAACATATTGATTTTGTTTTCTGTGAACAAAATCAATGAGCAAAATTAAAATAAAAAAATCAATTCTTTCATTTTTGAATTGATTCAGGTTTTCTGCACGTACATGGTTTATTTAAACTTGATTGCTAGTCTGGAAATTTAGTAATTCTGCATAAAAATAAATTAATAACATATACAAAGAAAGAAAATTGCAGTAAAGACATAGAGGGATGAGAAGGAAAAAGATGCAAAAGAGATCAAGAAAAACACAGTTTTCTATTAGAATGCATTGTTTAGGAATATCAAAGAACTATAAAGATTGGTACCAACAGCTCTGTCAAAAAAATCCACACACAGGTTTTGTCCTTTGCATTTTCCATCCCTTTTCTTTAGTTCAGCTGATACTTAGAAATGGTGTATTAAATATCTACAGTCCATGCATATTTTGTGAGTTCAAGTTTGCAAATCTTACCTAAAGATGAGAAAAAAATAGGAAAAAACCACCAAAATATTTAAGATGTAGCATTTTTCAGAAATAAATCCATTAACTATGCAAATATATTTGTGAAATTTTCAGCCTTTTTCTGAATATAGACATTATCTTAGAAAAAATTTTAATCTGGAACATGTAAAGGCATTGTTAAATACCTCTGATCAGATTCTTATCTCAAATATAGAAATTTTATTTCAATAAATTTTTTCTTCAACTGGAAATGAAATCAAAATTGTGTCTTCTGTGTTAATTGCAATTTCATTCTTTTGTATTTAATTTTCTGGTCAGAAGCAATTGAGAAGAAAGTACCCTAAAAAAAAATAATTGTGCAACTATTGTAATTTTCAGATTTCAGAGAGTTTAGCAGTCAAGCAATTTGTATGGAATAAAAGCACTTTTATATTGCCTCCTGCTACAATACCAGTGGGGAAAGGGCACCAAAACAGTGGGAGGCCAAATGAAGAGGTTTTTTCTTCTGTTGCATTAACTTGCAAGATACTGCGAGCTTCAGAATTGCAAGTGGTAATATAGCTTTTATGAACTATTTCTTTCCTCTTTGCCTCCTGTGGCTGCTTCGTTGTTGGGTAGTTGTTGCGTCTTTTTTTATGTCAGAAAGAGGGAGTGAAAGATATTTGTGACGAGTGGCATCCTACTTTCTGTTTGCCGTTGTCCTGCTTGGATGAAAGAAAAATACATCCATCTGACTCATTTTCCTATCTTTTAGGAAGAGGTTAATTTAAAGCTTTTAAAGCCAAATCTGAATTGTCTTACTCATATGACCAGGTCACATATAACCAGAGATTGTAAATATACCCAGCATCACTTTATTTTCAATTGTTTTACACAAGAACACTAAAGAACTAGATATGTCAGTAGAAAGCTATCAGGGAAGATGTGATATGTAATTTTTTTAGCTAGTTATAAAACAAGTTAGATAAATTATTAATAGGAATATAATATGAAGTGGCAACCAGTGGGAAAGGGGGCTGTATGGCACAAGATCTCTTTTCCTCCTTGGAGTCATTCTTTTTCTGGTGAATGTGGGCTGTTACAATTTGTAGAGGAACTCTCAATGGAGCCAAACACAATTTTACACATAAATGGAGAAGTAGATATGTTTTTTGCAGTAGTACTGAGCTTGCTAAACTATCTGTCAAACCTAGACTAAAGGATTAAATTAAGTAAACTTGCACCACCCAGATCACACATTAGTCTCAGGGTGAACAATACAATTCAGTTCAAGTAAATTGTTTTTGCAAAGGCTCATAAACAATTTAAAACCTTCACCTGAGATTTCTCAAGCTTATAAACAAACTTCTGTCTCTACTCTTCCTGCAAGCTTCATGTAGGCCTATAAGCACAGACTCTGATTCACCCACTCATCATTTAAAAACTCTGGACAATCTATGCTTTAACCCATTACTCATTTTATTCTTTGAGATTCATTCAATTGACTGAATTTTGCTGAGCCAGTAAAAGATAGCTTTGTGCTATCAAATGCACTGTCTAGATTTAAATTTCCAATGTATACTTAATTATGCATTCTTACAAACTCTGTATTATCTCCCTTTTCATTGGGGAAAAATTAAGCTATTGTGCCTGCAGATGTTATATCTGACTTTTGACATTTCATTTAGGGAAAACTATAAATATGTGAAATGCTGTTCCATCTTGTATGTTCTCAATATTTTACCAGAATCGACATTAAGAACATATATGATGAATGTGACAAATATTTTAATTCCTTTCTATCACCATGAACATGCTTACAATTTCATTATTTAGCATTAAGCTCTTTGTTTTTGTTGGAATGTGTTCATGAAATATCAAGAAGCCACAATCAAATTTTATTCTCTGTCGTACCCTAGTAGATTATTATTTCAGCCATGAGTTTTGCTTTGGTCTGTAGTTCCTAGGAATGGCATCTATCACAGGAAAACAGTTTGTTGCCCTTTCTAAGGAATTTATGGTGCTAATGAGGAAAAAACCAGAAGGTTTGTTATGACCCCTGATAGTCACCACAGAGCCCTCAATATTCTTCAGTGGTGGAATTAAAGAAAGGCATTAATGTTTCTACATTTAGTTTAAAATTAATTTTCTTCCAAATCAGATTAGTTTTCACATTTAAACAGCCTTAGTCTAGCCCAGTAACACTATTTTGAATTGCAAGTGCCAATCAAGCCAATTTAAAAAAATCCATTTTTTTATTATTTACACATATAAATACTATATATACTTATATATTACTATGAGAAATATGACAGAGAAAAACGTTCTACAAGACTTTAATAAACCTGATTATGCTCTATAGCCTATTTTATCAGGCTTAATTATCTGTTTATGTTACATTTTGCAGAGTTTTATTCAGGAAAGCAGGATTTTCAATTGGCTTTTGACACAAAATGACCTTTCTTTAAACTATGAAACTGTGTGCAGACAATTGTTTCTGCATAAAAGGCATCACTTCTTGAATATTGTCTAGAGAAATTTTATTTTAGCAAATAAGAGCAAAAGAGTGGTATATAAAGTAATTAACCTCATAAGAAGTGTGGGCAGAGTTCAATATCATAAATGTCCATCTGCTTTTCCTTTTTCTAAGAGTGATCTTTTTCTGTTGCTATCCAGCCCTGAACTGTGAGAATGGAAGAAGCATACAGGGAGTAAAAATAACTCTAGCCAGTCTCGTCTTTCACCTCTGAGAAGGGAGTTAGCATGTAGCCTGTTATCCAGGTGTTAACAGGTGAATTATGATTATTGTTAAGTTTGACATCTCACTTAGCTTCACAATCAGTAGGAAGTAGGCATATGTAGGGACCCTTTCATTCAGCCTAAGTTGTTTTTCTAATATTTAGGATGAAACCTTCTTTGGTGTCTCTCTGAAAGTCTACAGAGAGACCTAATCTCAGAGGAATTTTATGTGTTCAAGCTCAAAATCTTTCTGCATATAAAGTATA